GTGTTAAAGTAGCATCACAACAATCAGTTTAAATTATCAGTCCGCCCAGTGTGCATAACTTACAAATAATTTTAAGTAGTAACATTTTGGTTGACTATAATTAACTTAGTAACCTCCCCTAGACCTACCCCACTAAAATTAACAATTTTAACCATGTGTTTATAGATTATTTAATTTTCCTTTTTCTGAGATAATTCTACTTGACCCCTACTTTGGTTTGTTTAGGATTTGCTTCCATAGCCTTTACCCAACCAAGGGCGACCTACAAGGCAGCAGGTGTTTCATTTTGGAGTTCTCTCCTAGACGGGCAGCCAGCCAAGGCTAACGAGTCCACATCTACCCGGAATTGGAATTGTTATACTAGAAAATTTGAAATTTTTGCCAGAGACAACAAATTCCAGTGAAAATTGGACAATTACAAAATATTACAGTAACTGAAAAAGATAGAATTAACAAGGAACACAAAACAGCTGAAAAAGATAGAAATAAAAAACATAAAAGTACAAATAACAGATTCTAATGCAGAGATTTGTATTATCTTTGATGAAAGTATTTAAATTAATTTTCTTTCCCACCAAAACACTGCACACTCAGTTTTAGGAGCTGCTTGCTACAACAAAAATTGTTGTGAAATTCATATCATTTATTAAAAACAACCCACTAATATATTGGTGCTGAAACAATAGCTGCTATAGCAGAGTTAATGAGGTAATTGAGAGAGAATGTGTGGAGGGAAGATAAGGATTGTAGGTGGACAGGAGTGCAGAGAGGAGGCCAGGCAAGAGTACAGGCTAGACATCAGGAAAAATATGTCCATGGTAATCAGTGTTACATTTTGTCTTTGATTTAGTTATGAACATTACTATGATAGATTTGGATGAATAAAACTTTTTTATCATCAAAGATGTTTGGCCAGTAATATAGTTACTGAGAATACAATGCAACAATCAGTTTAATTTAGCAATCATACAGCAGTGTGCAGAAGTGACAAATAATTTTAAGTAACTTTGTAACCTCCCCTAGACCCACCCCACTAAAATGTCCATTTTAACCATGTAATCATAAATGATTGCTATTTTTAACCACCTAAATTTAATTTTCCTTTTTCTGAGCTATTTCTACTTGACCCCTACTTTGGTTTGTATTGGATTTGCTTCCATAGCCTTTACCCAACCAAGGGCGACCTACAAGGCAGCAGGTGTTTGATTTCGGAGTTTTCTCTCCTAGACGGGTTGCCGACCAAGGCTAACGAGTCCACATCTACCCGGAATTGGAATTGTTTTTTAAGTAAATTAGAAACTTTTGCTAGAGACAACAAATTTCAGCAAAAAAAGATAGAATTACCTAACAAGGATAACAGCTGAAAAAGATAGATTATTTAAAAAAAACAGAAGTACAAAGAACAGATTCTGATACAAAGAGGTGTATCATCTTTGGTGAAGGCATTTAAATTAATTTTCCACCAAAACACTGCATAATTAGTCAGTTTTAGGAGCTGCTTGCTACAACATTATAAAGTTTAGACAAAATGTAAATTACAAAAAAAAATAACAGGTAGCAACAGATGACTGATCAAAGATTTTAAAATGCTATGGCTAGAAATCAGGCAAAGATAAAAGTAAAGAAGACATGCAAGAGGACAGGTAAAAAAGGAAGGTGAGAGGACAGACAAGTTTGCAATCAAGATGAAAGGCAAGAAGACAGAGGGTAGGAAAGAGGAAAGTTGGTGTTAGGCAGGTAAGGGCAGGTTAGGATTTTTATATAGAAGGCTATACAACTCTTGTTGTAACAAAACTATGTGCCAGAGAGGCCCTGGTGCCCCTAGTCTGGGTCCCAGATTTTAGGGAAGATCTGGAACTACCAACACAAAGTTAAAGTAGACCATTTAAATTTTCTGCTACACTCTAAAAAAAAGTGCATTTAAAATAAAGTTTGGAAGCATTAGCTAACTATAATGGTGCTCAAGCAATAGTTACTATAGCAGAGTTAATGAGGTAATTGGGAAAATATGTTGTAGTTGATTGATTTAAAGGGTTCATTACTTTAAGGTACCAAGAAAGCATCTCTATTGCAGTACTACAAAATAAAATCTCATCTAACAGAAGTCCTAAAAAATTTCACACCAATCTTCCTTAGTATAAGTTGGACACATATACATAGCTAGACTACAATAGAAATAAGGTGGAGCAATAGGTTTAAGAGATGCACATAAACTGTTCGGCTTTATGACTAAATAAGAACTGGGACAAATCCCAGGTGAGATGAATATTTAATAAGGCTGCATTTATAAATGTGTACAGCTAGAATTGCATTACTTAATTGAAAGTTACATTAAACTAAAGAATCAGCTGCAGATGGAACACCACACCAGGTGAAAATTATTTTAGTACATCTTTACACATAGACAACTCCCCCACTCAAATAATGAATGGATTACCCACACCTGATTAAGTAGTCCAATTTACTTACATTTAAGTTTATGATATGAAAAAAAAAAAAATCCAGTCAATTGTGTAAACTTAATACACACATCAGAAATCTATCAGAGTAACAATCTAAAGGTGGGCCCACTCATGCATTATTTTGATTAGACAGTTACTATCCAGATTTCACTAACTGAAACTGTTTTGAGCAATTATTAGTCAACCGAAATTCAGTACTTAAAAATGTTTTGCATCTCTCCCCCATCAATGAGGTAAACCTTGCCTCAAAAGCATTGGTGGAAATACAAAATATAAAACTAAACATTTCACTTATTAAAAACAATAGAAAATGGTTTTAAATTTGTAGAGCTACACAATCAGCTGCACAAATCACAACAGGTGCAAGGTGTTGTGTGCTTGTGCCCGCACAAACACACAACTCCACTCAAATAATGAATGGATATAGATATATTTAGAACATCTGATTGAGTAGGACTAGTCAAATTTATCATTATTAATATATTATATAAAAAAAAAAAAACCTACCCAACTGTTCTAAATATGCTACAACAGAGAAAAAATGGCTTCAAACACTAAGAGCTAAAAAAATATATGAGAAGCTTTCATTGGTAAACAGCAAAAGAGAATAAGTCAAAATTTAATAGAAAGGTATTATTGATGTATCAAAAATGTGCACTGAATTTATGTAAGCTACAAGTAAGAGCACCATGTAGAAACAAAATTAAACAGGTTGCTACAGATTAGTGATCAACAGTAAAAAACAAATGCTATGGCTAGAGATCAGGCAAGGAAAGGAAAAAAGACAGTCAAGAAGAGTTTAGAAGAGAGTAAAGATGGCAGGGCATGAGGGGACAGTAAAGATGACAGTCAAAATGACAGACAGGAGGGTAGGCAATAGGATAGACAAGAGGACAGAATAGAGAAAGGTAAAATGGCAGGTAAGAGAGGACAAGAGGGTAGGAAAGAGGAAAGTCTGTGTTAGGCAAGTAAGGGCAGGTTAGGATTTTTATATAGAAGGCTATACAACTCTTGTTGTAACAAAACATTGTGCCAGAGAGGCTATGGTGCCCCTAGTCTGGGTCCCAGGTTTTAGGTGAGATCTGGAACTACCAACACAAAGTTAAAGAAACGTAAACAATGTTTTGGCCAGTAAAGTACTTAGTGTTAAAATAGGCTACGCTTCAACAATCAGTTTAATTTAGCAGTCAAACAAGTGTTCACTACTTAAAAATAATTCTAAGTAGTAACATTTTGGCTGAATATAATTATTTAACTTTGTAACCTCCCCTAGACCCACCCCACTAAAATGACCATTTTAACCACGTAATTGTAGATGATTGCTATTTTTAACTACCTATAATAAATTTAATTTTCCTTTTTCTAAGCTAATTCTACTTGACCCCTACTTTGTTTTGTATAGGATTTGCTTCCATAGCCTTTACCCAACCAAGGGCGACCTACAAGGCAGCAGGTGTTTGATTTCGGAGTTTTCTCTCCTAGACGGGTTGCCGACCAAGGCTAACGAGTCCACATCTACCCGGAATTGGAATTGTTATATTAGCAAATTAGAAACTTTTGCTAGAGACAAATTCCAGCAATAAAGATAGAATTGCCCAACAAGGATTACAAAACAGCTGAAAGATAGGAATACAAAACAGCTGATAAATATAGGAATACAAAACTGCTGGAAAAGAATTACAAAAGTGAACAATATATTTACATGTAAATCTGATCAATCTTTAATTAGCCTTTTTTTAAGCTGTTCTACTAAAGGTTATGTCTAAGAAAAATGTATGCATTATGGCCATTCTTGCAGTACTCCCACTACCCCACTAAATGTTAACCAGATTCGATTTAGATTGGGAATGTGGAAAAAATTTGCAGTGCATGTAGCAATGCTAATAGATATGTAATGGAAATATTCTAATAAGAAATTTCAGCATCAAATACTAAAACTGAAAAATCAATGTTTAATTAAATTATTAAAACATTTCATAATTATTATAAATTGCAAAACTTTCTCTAAATTACTGGCAACATAAATTACTTTTAAAACTTTTGCAAAATGTAATAACCCATTAAAATATTTTTAAATGCAATACTATACATTTATTAAGGATTGTAAAAGATAATTAAAACAGCATTTGCAAAACAATTCTCAAAATAATGTGCTATACTACAGGAGCATCAAAGATTAAAATGTTTTATCACTACTGAAACATTAGAGTTGATCCTCTGATGTGGTTATTTAAGAGATGGAGTGGGTAGACTAGTGTATTAAAGTTATTCAACTGATGGCATGGATCTTCTAGTATTAGACAGTTAACATTATACTTAGGATAACTTGGATCATTGAGGGATAGAGAATTAGAGGGAATTTATTAAGGCTTGACTTGGATTATCTAGGGTTTATGTTTACTACTCTGGCAAAGTTCTGGAATAAAATTATTCTTGTAGTCCCACTGATCAGAGGTTAGTGTCAGGTTAGTAGCACGGTTTGGGTTAGTAGTGTGTTAGTAGTGTTAGTGTGGTTAGTAGCCCCTACTGTTGTTAGTAATGTGGTTAGTGGTCTGGTCAGTGGCCGGCAAGAGGACAGGCAAGAGGACGGGCAAGAGGACAGGCAAGTGGACAGGCAAGTGGACAGGCAAGTGGACAGGCAAGTGGACAGGCAAGTGGACAGGCAAGTGGACAGGCAAGAGGACAGGCAAGTGGACAGGCAAGTGGACAGGCAAGTGGACAGACAAGAGGACAGGCAAGTGGACAGTACATTTATTATCACCTAATTTCCATTTTGGAATGAAAAAAAAATTATATCTAACAGTCTAATACTAGAAGATGCTACACCAATTGGCTTTGAAAAAGGTTTAAGTATTAAAAGACTTCTGTTTTAATTAGTGAAAGGTATTTAGAAAGAGGCAGGTAATTTTTCACAAGAGGTATTTTAAAACAAAAAACAACCTATTATATAATAAGTGAGTAGAATCAAAAGTGGCAAGGTCAAAGATGTATAAACTACATCTGATTTAGCATTTGACTATAAGCAGTAGAAAAATTCAGTTTATGGAGAAAAGTAAACATAACACTCAAAATAAGGTCAGTTTAATTTTATAAATGGTGAAAACAATTCAAAATAAACGTTTTGCTAAAAAATTACTTGCTGTGAAATGTTTAATTTTTAAATAATTCATAAAAATATGTTTAAATGCAGTACTGTAAATCTATTTATCATGGATAGCAAATAAATATTGAATTAGCCTTTTCAAAACTGTTCCCAAAAAGAGAATGAGATACAAGAATATAAAGAATTCATGCTATAGGGACTTTCATGTCCCACTCCCCCATCTCCACTATCTAAATAAACCCAGGTTCTTGACAAGAAAGGGATATGTAGCTAATTAAATTTATTCACAGTAGACAACACAAGCCCAAGTAAAAACAAGAAACTGTTTAAACAAATGTATTCATAATATATTAAAGGGATGGGATGGATCATCTAGTATTAGTGAGTTAAGATTAGGTCATTAGATCATTGACAGCTAGACAATTTAGGGAACTTAACAAGGCTTGACAAGGGATTTATTGATAACGTACATCAGTGAAGTTCTGGAAAAAAATATTTCCTGTAGTCCCACTGATCAGAGGTTAGTGTCAGGTTAGTAGCGCGGTTTGGGTTAGTTGTGTGTTAGTAGTGTTAGTGTGGTTAGTAGCCCCTACTGTTGTTAGTAATGTGGTTAGTGGTCTGGTCAGTGGCTAGCTAGAGGACAGGCAAGTGGACAGGCAAAGAGGACAGGCAAGTGGACAGGCAAGTGGACAGGCAAGTGGACGGGCAAGTGGACGGGCAAGTGGACGGGCAAGTGGACGGGCAAGTGGACGGGCAAGACGACAGGCAAGACGACAGGCAAGACGACAGGCAAGACGACAGGCAAGACGACAGGCAAGACGACAGGCAAGACGACAGGCAAGACGACAGGCAAGACGACAGGCAAGACGACAGGCAAGACGACAGGCAAGACGACAGGCAAGACGACAGGCAAGACGACAGGCAAGACGACAGGCAAGACGACAGGCAAGACGACAGGCAAGACGACAGGCAAGTGGACAGGCAAGTGGACAGCAGCTTTTTAATCCCACATGAAAATTGACTACTTAAATATTTATACATTTAAGAAACAAACTAATACTAGATGATGTTTTAGCAGTCAGTTTTGGATAGGTTTAAGTATAAACATTGTGATTTATTATATCAGTTAGAGGGATGTCATAAGCCATAAAGGGAGGTAATTTGTCATGAGGTCTTTGAAAACTAAATATTTTTGTTATGTAGTAACAGGGTATAATCAAATACGACAGATAAATATATGCAGTAAATATTTTAAGCTAGTCTACCCTTGTAAATACTTGATAATGTTACATTAATATTCCCAGGCTGTGAAAGCAAGGATCGTGCTAATGTTTTTTAATGTTAAAGAAGTTATAGGACCAGTTCTTGAAATTTAAATTATGAATGTAAAAATATTTCAATGGTAGAACCTCTTGATAAACATTTATTCATACCGTAGATAACATAACCCAAGAAGAAACAAAACTTTAAACACTTCAATCAGAATACATTAAATAATAATTTATCCTATGGCAATATATTGAGGATATAACATTCAGTCTTTGATTCAGTAATTGTTATCTTATCATCATGATATATTTTGATTGTATATTGTTTTCATCATTATCAAAGACATTTGGCCAGCTACATATTTAGTGTTAAAGTCTGCTGCACAAAATTTTTTATTTAGAGATTCAAATGATTGCTCCTTGTCTGGTAACAATACAATTAGTGTTACAGTACTGAAAGAGATTCAGTCCTCTGACTTGGTTATTTAAGAGATGAAGTGGGTAGAATAGTGTTGTTAGGTTAGAGAACAGGTATGAGGGCAGGTAAGTTGGGATGAAGTGGGTAGAATAGTGTTGTTAGAGGTTAGAGAACAGGTATGAGGGCAGGTAAGTTGGGATGAAGTGGGTAGAATAGTGTTGTTAGAGGTTAGAGAACAGGTATGAGGGCAGGTAAGTTGGGATGAAGTGGGTAGAATAGTGTTGTTAGAGGTTAAAGAACAGGTATGAGGGCAGGTAAGTTGGGATGAAGTGGGTAGAATAGTGTTAGAGGTTAGAGAACAGGTATGAGGGCAGGTAAGTTGGGATGAAGTGGGTAGAATAGTGTTGTTAGAGGTTAGAGAACAGGTATGAGGGCAGGTAAGTTGGGATGTAGTGGGTAGAATAGTGTTAGAGGTTAGAGAACAGGTATGAGGGTAGGTAAGTTGGGATGAAGTGGGTAGAATAGTGTTGTTATAGGTTAGAGAACAGGTATGAGGGCAGGTAAGTTGGGATGAAGTGGGTAGAATAGTGTTGTTAGGTTAGAGAACAGGTATGAGGGCAGGTAAGTTGGGATGTAGTGGGTAGAATAGTGTTAGAGGTTAGAGAACAGGTATGAGGGTAGGTAAGTTGGGATGAAGTGGGTAGAATAGTGTTAGAGGTTAGAGAACAGGTATGAGGGCAGGTAAGTTGGGATGAAGTGGGTAGAATAGTGTTGTTAGGTTAGAGAACAGGTATGAGGGCAGGTAAGTTGGGATGAAGTGGGTAGAATAGTGTTAGAGGTTAGAGAACAGGTATGAGGGTAGGTAAGTTGGGATGAAGTGGGTAGAATAGTGTTGTTAGAGGTTAGAGAACAGGTATGAGGGCAGGTAAGTTGGGATGAAGTGGGTAGAATAGTGTTAGGTTAGAGAACAGGTATGAGGGCAGGTAAGTTGGGATGAAGTGGGTAGAATAGTGTTGTTAGAGGTTAGAGAACAGGTATGAGGGCAGGTAAGTTGGGATGAAGTGGGTAGAATAGTGTTAGAGGTTAGAGAACAGGTATGAGGGCAGGTAAGTTGGGATGAAGTGGGTAGAATAGTGTTGTTAGGTTAGAGAACAGGTATGAGGGCAGGTAAGTTGGGATGAAGTGGGTAGAATAGTGTTGTTAGAGGTTAGAGAACAGGTATGGGGGCAGGTAAGTTGGGATGAAGTGGGTAGAATAGTGTTAGAGGTTAGAGAACAGGTATGAGTGCAGGTAAGTTGGGATAAAGTGGGTAGAATAGCGTTAGAGGTTAGTAAAAAGGTATGAGGGCAGGTAAGTTGGGATAAAGTGGGTAGAATAGCATTAGAGGTTAGTGAACAGGTATGAGGGCAGGTAAGTTGGGATGAAGTGGGTAGAATAGTGTTAGAGGTTAGAGAACAGGTATGAGGGCAGGTAAGTTGGGATGAAGTGGGTAGAATAGTGTTAGAATGAGAACAGGTATAAGGGCAGGTAAGTTATGATGAAGTGGGTAGAACAGTGTTGTTAGGTTAGAGAACAGGTATGAGGGCAGGTAAGTTGGGATGAAGTGGGTAGAATAGTGTTAGAGGTTAGAGAACAGGTATGAGGGCAGGTAAGTTGGGATGAAGTGGGTAGAATAGTGTTAGAGGTTAGAGAACAGGTATGAGGGCAGGTAAGTTGGGATGAAGTGGGTAGAATAGTGTTAGAGGTTAGAGAACAGGTATGAGGGCAGGTAAGTTGGGATGAAGTGGGTAGAATAGTGTTGTTAGAGGTTAGAGAACAGGTATGAGGGCAGGTAAGTTGGGATGAAGTGGGTAGAATAGTGTTAGAGGTTAGAGAACAGGTATGAGGGCAGGTAAGTTGGGATGAAGTGGGTAGAATAGTGTTGTTAGAGGTTAGAGAACAGGTATGAGGGCAGGTAAGTTGGGATGAAGTGGGTAGAATAGTGTTAGAGGTTAGAGAACAGGTATGAGGGCAGGTAAGTTGGGATGAAGTGGGTAGAATAGTGTTAGAGGTTAGAGAACAGGTATGAGGGCAGGTAAGTTGGGATGAAGTGGGTAGAATAGTGTTAGAGGTTAGAGAACAGGTATGAGGGCAGGTAAGTTGGGATGAAGTGGGTAGAATAGTGTTAGAGGTTAGAGAACAGGTATGAGGGCAGGTAAGTTGGGATGAAGTGGGTAGAATAGTGTTAGAGGTTAGAGAACAGGTATGAGGGCAGGTAAGTTGGGATGAAGTGGGTAGAATAGTGTTGTTAGAGGTTAGAGAACAGGTATGAGGGCAGGTAAGTTGGGATGAAGTGGGTAGAATAGTGTTAGAGGTTAGAGAACAGGTATGAGGGCAGGTAAGTTGGGATGAAGTGGGTAGAATAGTGTTAGAGGTTAGAGAACAGGTATGAGGGCAGGTAAGTTGGGATGAAGTGGGTAGAATAGTGTTAGAGGTTAGAGAACAGGTATGAGGGCAGGTAAGTTGGGATGAAGTGGGTAGAATAGTGTTAGAGGTTAGAGAACAGGTATGAGGGCAGGTAAGTTGGGATGAAGTGGGTAGAATAGTGTTGTTAGGTTAGAGAACAGGTATGAGGGCAGGTAAGTTGGGATGAAGTGGGTAGAATAGTGTTGTTAGGTTAGAGAACAGGTATGAGGGCAGGTAAGTTGGGATGAAGTGGGTAGAATAGTGTTAGAGGTTAGAGAACAGGTATGAAGGCAGGTAAGTTGGGATGAAGTGGGTAGAATAGTGTTAGAGGTTAGAGAACAGGTATGAGGGCAGGTAAGTTGGGATGAAGTGGGTAGAATAGTGTTAGAGGTTAGAGAACAGGTATGAGGGCAGGTAAGTTGGGATGAAGTGGGTAGAATAGTGTTAGAGGTTAGAGAACAGGTATGAGGGCAGGTAAGTTGGGATGAAGTGGGTAGAATAGTGTTAGAGGTTAGAGAACAGGTATGAGGGCAGGTAAGTTGGGATGAAGTGGGTAGAATAGTGTTAGAGGTTAGAGAACAGGTATGAGGGCAGGTAAGTTGGGATGAAGTGGGTAGAATAGTGTTGTTAGAGGTTAGAGAACAGGTATGAGGGCAGGTAAGTTGGGATGAAGTGGGTAGAATAGTGTTAGGTTAGAGAACAGGTATGAGGGCAGGTAAGTTGGGATGAAGTGGGTAGAATAGTGTTGTTAGAGGTTAGAGAACAGGTATGGGGGCAGGTAAGTTGGGATGTAGTGGGTAGAATAGTGTTGTTAGAGGTTAGGGAACAGGTATGAGGGCAGGTAGGTTGGGATGAAGTGGGTAGAATAGTGTTGTTAGAGGTTAAAGAACAGGTATGAGGGCAGGTAAGTTGGGATGAAGTGGGTAGAATAGTGTTGTTAGAGGTTAGAGAACAGGTATGAGGGCAGGTAAGTTGGGATGTAGTGGGTAGAATAGTGTTAGAGGTTAGAGAACAGGTATGAGGGCAGGTAAGTTGGGATGAAGTGGGTAGAATAGTGTTGTTAGAGGTTAGAGAACAGGTATGAGGGCAGGTAAGTTGGGATGAAGTGGGTAGAATAGTGTTAGAGGTTAGAGAACAGGTATGAGGGCAGGTAAGTTGGGATGAAGTGGGTAGAATAGTGTTGTTAGAGGTTAGAGAACAGGTATGAGGGCAGGTAAGTTGGGATGTAGTGGGTAGAATAGTGTTAGAGGTTAGAGAACAGGTATGAGGGCAGGTAAGTTGGGATGAAGTGGGTAGAATAGTGTTAGAGGTTAGAGAACAGGTATGAGGGCAGGTAAGTTGGGATGAAGTGGGTAGAATAGTGTTAGGTTAGAGAACAGGTATGAGGGCAGGTAAGTTGGGATGAAGTGGGTAGAATAGTGTTAGAGTTTAGAGAACAGGTATGAGGGCAGGTAAGTTGGGATGTAGTGGGTAGAAGAGTGTTAGAGGTTAGAGAACAGGTATGAGGGCAGGTAAGTTGGGATGAAGTGGGTAGAATAGTGTTAGAGGTTAGAGAACAGGTATGAGGGCAGGTAAGTTGGGATGAAGTGGGTAGAATAGTGTTAGGTTAGAGAACAGGTATGAGGGCAGGTAAGTTGGGATGAAGTGGGTAGAATAGTGTTAGAGGTTAGAGAACAGGTATGAGGGCAGGTAAGTTGGGATGAAGTGGGTAGAATAGTGTTAGAGGTTAGAGAACAGGTATGAGGGCAGGTAAGTTGGGATGAAGTGGGTAGAATAGTGTTGTTAGAGGTTAGAGAACAGGTATGAGGGCAGGTAAGTTGGGATGAAGTGGGTAGAATAGTGTTAGGTTAGAGAACAGGTATGAGGGCAGGTAAGTTGGGATGAAGTGGG